AGCTTAGACATTGAGACTTATGGTCATTTGGCTCAAATCGCTGACATAGAAGCCATGCGACTTGCGGGGAAAATGGTAACTGGGTAGTTACCTGTAAAAGCTGGTAAAATTGATATATCGCCGTGATTTACAAAAAAAAAGACAAAAACAAAAAAGGGGTGTTAAAAATCGGCATGAATCCAGAAAAATATCATATATATTATAATAACAGTTGCACAACAATATGAAGGCATTTTAGTTTAAAGCTTAACACTTTTTGAGTTGAAAAAAAACCCAAAACGTTTTCATTTTTTTCCATTTTCGATGTGAAATCCTTTAAGGTTGTTTTTGAGGTGTCTCATCATTGTCTTTTCAAAAGAAAGAATCCGAAATAACAGACTGTCAATAGCAGGATTTTCTTTGATTCTTACTTGACATATCATTGATACGTGACTCAATTTGCATCTGGCATTGCAAGTATTACAGTATTAGCACTGAATTTCCAGATCAATTGGCTGAAATCTTTCGCTTATATAAAGTCTGTAGCGTTAAAGGAACTCAATTAAGGTCAAAAAAGCCTAAAACATAAGATTTGAATTTTCTACATAGATCAGCTGTAGATTTTCAGCCATGTTTCTAGCAGAATATTGAATTAAAGCACACACATTCACTATTATCTTTTTATCTAAATGGAATAAAAAAGTGTGCAGTTCATTTTGTAAAAGTTCATTTTTGAATTGTTTTTGTACCACCAGGGCATAATGATCTTTCAGAGTATCTTTCAGGCATACAATAACTATTATACTAGCTATCCACAACGGCTGGGAGTCAAATAAAACGTGTTGATCAGTACATACCAGAAAATGATGAAAACAAAACCAGTTGTGTCTTGAGCATTCAACATGTGTTGGCACTTAAGAGTTTGTTTTATTATATCTGTGGTGTTTTATATTCCCTCAAGTGTTTTATTCTCTCTCACATACTGGAAATCTGCATCTGTATAAACCTTTAAATGGTCGTTTCCCAGGTAAACAATTACACGTAACAGTTGTTTACATAGACTGTCATATAATTAGTTTAAACAATGGTGATAGCTTTATAATTTTATACCGAATCTTAAATTAAATCGTCATATCTCATAAAGAATCAATCAATTTGTTATAAAAAGAGCAGTTCGTTAAGTGCCAGTTACATGTACAACTAATGAGAGAAATGAAATGAAACATTGACATCGTTCGTTATAGTGACACATATCAAATACATCTACATGATAAGAATGCATGTAAAACCCCGATGCATTGGACCTATAAGCTGAGTGTACAAACAATAAACTGTTAACAATACCTAGCAGAATGAGATCAAGGTTATATACTGATAAAAGAGAGTGTATCTCTTATTTGTATGTGCTAAAATTCGTCAACTCGTTATTATCAATATTTCATGACTGAAGCAATGATTCCAGACTTCAAGTATGCGCATTGCGTACATTTTAAACATATTTTAGAAATAGTTTTGCGAAAACAACTTTAACAAGTCTACAATGTTCTCTCACGCTTCTTATTTCAATATATCACATTTTTTATTATAATCTTATTTTGTTCGCCGAGTTGAAACGATCATATATCAAACAACCTTCATATATATAAATATATAAATATACCTACAATATTATAATGTTATCATAATATTGCAAAATTGCTATCATTTTTAAAGTTTTAAAAGAATGAAAATAATACAGCATCCGTGTATATAAAACTATATTAACGTCACGATTATCCAATGAAATATGATAAACAAGATCAAGAAGGAAAGGCGGCGTTCAGTGAACGCAACCCCCAAAAGTGACGTTTAAAAAGTGCAGTGATTAAACAATGATTATAATAAATTCATGTCAAGAGTGTCCTACACAACAAACAGGCGGTATTATGTAACATCATAGTAGTATATTATAGGGACGATGCAGAGCCTTGCTTACAATTGACTTTTAAAACTGCATGCCTCCAGATGAGTGCAATTATTTTTAAAAATTCAAACTTCAGAAATATGAATAAAATTTTATGAAAGGTAAAAGATTCAAGATATAAGTTATAATCTACACGTTATGTGCGACGAATGACTGATTCTGCAGTATTAATCACCGTATTTTTACTGCGTATTTTACGCAGTAAGGTCTATTTTTGCATATTATGACCTCCTTTTTTGTGGTAATTTGCGTGGATTTTAAGTGCCGATTGCAATGTGTAAATAATATATTTTGTTCACCTTACTATACATGTATTTTTTAAACTGTTCATAAAAATAAGCACGAATCTAAAGGCGGCCTTCTGTAGCACATATTTCCTGATCGATACTTGTTTGTTATTGTATTTACAAGCGCCAATAACTGATGCAAAACTCCATAACCTTGTTCGGTACCATTCATTTCCCTTTAATCTCCAGCATTAAACAATGGAAAATTCTAGACAATATTGTTGAATCCATTAAGAATTTTTTTTTTTCAATCATTTGTGTCTTCTGTTACTTTTTTGCATTATTTAATGTCTATATTCCCATTTTGTATTAGGTACATATAATCTTTTTTTTCAGATCTGAAGAACAAATCAACTTTTATTTATTTGAATGTAAATGTTGTTGTTGAAATAACTTTCAAAATAATATTTTGCCATATCTTAATACCTTTCAACAAACTTTATCATAATTTAGAGGTTTAAGAAGATGTGTTGAGGTATATAAATATATCTAAAATAAAGATTTTGTCATTTCCGTTCCTTTCTTTATATCGGAAAGTGATGCTTATCAGGTATAATAATTATTTGTTGCTTTACACTCAATGAGCTTTACGAATTTCATTTACTGCAGTGAAGGCTCGTATTAAATATGTATTTGCGTAACAAAAACACAAAGCCGTCCGACTTTCTGTATTTTTGTCGATTAAACAAACAAAAAGACATAATCATGTTTACTTATCATCATGAGATAAGATACCGTCTGCTGTCGATCAGCTGCCGTCAGAGGGAAAAGTTCAGCTCGGTGCATAAGAATAAATGGCAACAAAATATATTACCGTTCACGTTACAAATACACATGTGTGTCATTGACCTACGTTTCTATAAAAAAAAACGCATTTTACATCGAAAAAAATGAAGTATTGTTTTTATTGATTGTGGTCATAAATTTGTTTGTAAAACTTACATTGTAATAAAACTGAGCTGAAGAATGCAGACGAGATAAAGAGTTTGCGAGATAAACTATTACTTTATATTATATCCATTATAAATGGACCTACTTACTTGTGACACTCCGCTTTTAATTAAACAAATTAACGGTTTTCAGTTTCCCGAAAAAATTTGTTTCTATAACATCTTGTAAATTTAAATAGATAAATTAATCAAATTACTCGAAGTAATTTCCGAATAAAGATTCGAATTGGATGAGATTTGTGTTAAATTAATGTTGATTAAAAATCAAACTATTTCAATTCCAATTTAATTTTCTTGCATAACTTGATTTACCTAAATGACACTTAATTCCTTATATATTTTTGTCTTTATCGTGTCTACTTTGCAGTGAAGGCATGTCAGAGATGCCACGTACTCCCTTAAAGATAAAGGACTTTAGCGTAATCTTTGGTTAAATTGGGAATTCCATGATCCTTATCTTTCAGTGGTTGCATGTAATCTCTGAAACTTAATTGCAGTTTTACATAAATGCCTTGATTAAATATGAGATGTTTCTTCCAGTAAATTCACGGTGTTACAGTTACTTATTAAATTTATAACTGATCTTAAGTACTAGTACCTATGTACATTAATTTTTTATTAAAGACACAACCTTTTTCAACTGATTTTATATTTTGAGTTGAGTTTTCGACAAAGTTCTTCATGTATTTTAGCATCTTTTTTTTCGGAACACATCAGAGCTTTAGTCGTAGTGAAGTTTGTCTACACACATTCACAAGAACAAGCAGTTGATACACTATAACAGCACTGTATTGATGAAAATGGTCTGTAATGCACACAAGATGTAAGAAGTTTAATGTGATTTTCGCAGGCCGCCGACTTCAAACCATATGCCCTTCACCTCTATGGACACGTCAGTGACTTTGTGTTCATAATGTTAGGACACTCCCGTTCTTGCTTGAATTAATGCACGACGAGGCACTCGATGTAGTTCTTATCTGTAAAACAAGAAAGTCGTCTCCATATTTCAATATTGTCGATGTGGTTTACATAAAACAAAACAAAATGAAAAACTATGATATTTTTTGTCAGAAAATAAACCTTTAAATATTGATCACAACATGATCCTTTATAAAACTTGCAAAATTGAATTTCAATTACTTTCAATACTTGTGAAAAAAAATTATTTTGTTTTTATTTATTTTTGAATTATTTTAACAAAAAGGTTCATTTCCTGAAATCCCTACCAAAGTTAAGTGTATTCTCGACTTTTTTGGGGATGTCAGGAAGTTTAAGCTTACAAGAAATCCGTGATAACACACTTTAATTATAACGAATGTTTCTAATTTAGATAACTGTAATGGAACTATTGCACTATTTATCAACTTGACCTGGTGTATGTTAATTCGCGATTTTTTATCCCGATGTCAGTAAATAAAAAGAAACTGCATAACATCACAGACCAATGCGATAAAAATAAGTATTAAATGTATATTTTTACCAAAAATAATGGTATGACTTACTGAAAAATAGGAGCGGGGTAATATTTGTGAAATGTTAATCATAGGAAACATAAATGTCTTACATACGTGAACCGGTTTCATCTATGTTAGCAAAACAATAAACCCACCCGCATTGCATAAATAGGTACAGACACATAAAACTTGTCACAATCTCTCTCTGACTGATTTAATAACATTTTACAACCCATCAAACTGTGCCATAAATTATAATCAAACATTTAAAACTGTATCAACCATCTAGGTTTGTTTGTTTATGTGTATTAACTCGTGGTTATAAAGGAAAAGAAAACAACTTAGGTGATAATAAACTGACTCAAACATGTTTAATAAAATCGGAAGTTACCTGGTTTGTATAAAGGATAACATGTTAACAGATTTGTTTACAATGTTTACAAAATTTAACCCTGGTGTGAACTCCCTTTAAAATTTATTATTTTGTTGGATGTTGCTTGCAAAGTATTCGTTTAAGATGTTTTTCTTTCGCCTTAAGATGCCGTCAACTCGTAACACCAGTAGATAGTTTCTTAGCGCATGAATTTCCAATATTTGTCAGGGAGAGCTTTTCTCGGCGGAAGGAATGAAATACCATCTGATAGTTGAAATTCTATGGCCATGTCATAACACTGCGTAAAATCAGTTCTGTAAAGATTATGCTAGTTAGCAGTCTTGATTGCTAGATTGCCAGGGTGATAACTGCTTTCAGGATAACTTACATTTATAAAAGTGATCAACCCAAAACTGTTATTGTTAAAAATTACATTTGTTGCATTTTGTTTCCATTTATTGTGAACTTGTTGGAAATATTGTTCACTTTTTTTTTGTAAAAAATATTAGATGTCTATCAAAATATAGAACGATTATCTGTACAATAACTTACTCAATATTTTTAATTATATTTTAACATTAACTTTACAAAGGTGTACGGTTAATATATTCAATATGGAAATGAATTACAGTTATAAAGGTGTTTCGGAAAATGATACTGAAGGGAAATATGAGTATCATACACAAAGTATTTGTGAACAAGCGACTGTTTATCATCAGGATTACACACAACTAGCCCCTGTTACAATTATTGTTGTTATTTGTTATATATTTGTGGCAGTGCTTGCAGTACTGGGGAATTTACTAGTGATTTGGACAGTATGGCGGAATTGCAACATGCATACCGTAACTAACTACTATATTGTGAATTTAGCTATTTCTGATCTACTCGTTGCATCAATCGTAATGCCTCTTAAACTACTCGAGTATACGGCGGATTGTGAATGGCATATTTTCAAAAGTGATGGGCTGTGCTCGGTTGTTTCTTACTTACTGCCTATATTTGTTTTTACAAGTGTGCTTACCTTGGCGGCGATTTCATTCGAAAGGTAATTTTCACTTTTTGTTATTATAACTCTAAAATAATAAAATGTTAGAATCAGCTTTATAATTTTCATATATTTAAATGAGAAAACGATATACTTTTCATAATATAATTGCCTACTCTATCTGTTTTAATATCGAATGCTTATTTCCAAAAATATTTCAAAACTGTTAAGTTAAACTAGTACTTTGAAAAACAATCTGTTTTTCTTTCTTCGCGATAAAACATTGTAAAAATAATCGTTGATAAAATACTTAAACTTAAATTGAACGATATAAAACAAATATTTACAACAGCTTAAAATATATTGCTATTTTGTGAAGATCTATTTCGCTAGTATATTATATGCCTTTTTTGTAACAGCCAATAACATTAATTTCCGATAGGACCCACAGTAAGTTTAAACATGAGTTTATGTTATTTAAATGAAACGATAAAACTGATTTATAAATGATACATAAATTAGATTAAATTTCTTATTTGTAATAATAATAATAATAATAATAATAATAATAACAACAACAACAATAATTATAATAATAATAATAAAAAATAATTATTATTATTATTTTTATATATTTGTATTTTATTACTTTATCAAACATCGATTTTTAATAAATTTATATTATTTGCAAGACATAACTAATCTCAATTTCTTCGAACAAACTACATACTTTCTTCCAAAACGGTTCTCTATTATATATGAATTGATGGATTTTCTTAAAAGCTTTACTTTAATTTTCCATAGATACAAAGAGTACATGGTATTGTAAAACGGTGTTATATTGAATATCAACTTCATTTTTGACAGCTCTTTTGTCCACCAGTTTGTATTTCTGGTCATGCAATTATATTTTAGAGAAACGTCTGAAAGCCGAACTGAAATTTAGTCAATCATTTTGTAACAACATTTAATGTTTTACACACAAAACTGCGGCTATTTCATTCTATGTGAAGGTTAGATTTGTTCATTTCAGCTATAAGGAATGAGAGATGAAAAGATTTTCTATTCAAAAACAGTTATTTTACCGGTGTCTCCTGGCTAATAGCTTTTAGTACGATTGAAATATTCAACCAGAATTGTGTGAACGATGCTTTTAAAACTTGAATAGCCAAGAAAATGCATTCCAACATATCGTTTAATTTGAATATAAAGAAAATACGAATCCCGAGAGGACATCAAAAATGGCATAATTAAAAATATTGCAGGCTCAGTTTGTTTGAGCCTGTTCATTGATGGTACTGGAAATTGCAAGATACCGACCATGCACCATAGCGCCCGCTTTAATATTTATTACTTTAATAGCAATAAAAATTCTCTTTGAACCCGCAGTGTTAAGGTCAAATGACGACCTTCAAGCTTTACCTCAGGTGCCCCTCCGTGTATTATTTCAAGCGCGAACGGGCACCTGTGAAGAACCTGCGATATTCCGCAAGCTAGCTGGACAACAAGCATTAACATTAATGACTTAAGATCGAAAACAATAAAAAAAAAACTTTATATTTGTAATAAAGAATCCTTTTAATACCTCTTGGATACTTGTTTTATTCCCAATACTTTTTCCTTTCACGTCAGCAATAACTCATTTATAAAGTGATTTAAACAGCACTTTCTACTTTTATCATTTTTTTCTGAGCCAATGTAACATGCATTACTTCCTTCATTTTCTAAATCGTTTTAGATATTAACGGGTTTTCAGATTAAAATAAGTGGAGGTCCCCACAGGTAGCTATTTCGTTGTATAGTAAAACCTTTTCATTTTCATCAGATATTTTTCAGGCATTGGCTCGTTATTGATTTGGATAAAGATGTGTTTTATCGCATTGAATTTATTGTAGTTTCAAGGTTTTCATGTTAAATTATTACTTATAAAATATAAGCGAGGAATTAATATTGCAGCTTTTTACCACTTTTATATTTGTAATATTTATAATTTATTTTTTTACTAGCATGTGAATATTCAAATTAAATATTACAAAACTGGATGTACTAGATAAACTTTCTTTACCTTAGCTGTCATTAAAACAATACATGCTTCAAATAAAATTAAAATGAAAACAACATCTATCTACTAGAAAAGGTCTTAAAATAACCATTTTTATTGTGTCTTTCAAAGATAATTTCAAGTTTTATATAAAGAAAAAAAATCATTAAGACAAAAAATAAATCTTTTAATTTTCTAGTGTCCCTATCTCACTTCATGCCAGACTAACCTAGGTGGCAGAAACGTAGGATATGAAAGACGATAGTATGGAAGTCAAGATTTTAAACGAGCTGATAAAAACAACAAGAAATAATAGATAAGTTCGTCTCTTACTGATCCATTAGCCAGCCGTCTTCAAGTCGTTGATATGAATCAAATTAGAACGATAAGTTTTAAGTGTTAAGTTTGTGGCGATGAAGTTTTGTAATTTGAAGCCTATTTATCACTAATTGTCCTATTGATTGAATTTTGTAAAAAAAAGTGAAGTGTAAAATTGATTCCCAGTGTAGCGCTCATGAAATAATGCATGAACTATTACATAATTTTTTGATATTTTATTTTACACGGCGTTTTATCGTTCATTAAAAATACATTTCTCGTTACAATGCACTTATAATATGAGTATTTATAATATATTTTTCGTTTTATCCGCGATATGTTTTGCTTCAATATCTCGTTGGAAAATCAGCATTTTATACTAAGTAGTTTATTTCCGTCAAGTATTTTATGTGTCGTTCGGCTAATGAGACAAAATATTATCATTTGTACTCTTTGAAATGATCAGAAAGTTGCTTGAGACTGACACTTGATAATCTAGTTCTTTCCAAAGGAGTAAATATTTCTGTTTGAGAGAGAATGGCCGAAATCTGCAACGTGCAACTACCGTAATTGTCAAATTTTCTCCTTTATCTATTTGACATATCATGAACACGTAAAAGGTACTTAGATATCAATTGATATAAATTGCATAATGCCAAAGAAGATTCATGAATGACAAGAAGAGTGATGTGATTAGGTGTGAACGAGGACTGTCTCGATTATCAATTAATCTAAAAGTTTCTTTTTTTGGACGCAAAAAGGCAGGCTCTGATTTTCATGCTCAAATCCTCAGTTTACAAATTACTGCTATGTACATGTATAATAGTCAGTGCTCTTAGATAGTTTAAGGCATTTGTATTAAAAGTGAATAATATCAAAGCATTCTCAAAACAACTACCGAAATGGCAAAATTGAAAATGGTTCAACGATGGTACGGGACAGCACAAGCTAAAGTTCACTCCCTCTAGCAGCGGCTTAAGCAGAATTCAAATGGTATTTTTTTAATTTAGAAGCATCCGTATAAACAAACAGCTTCAAGTCTAAATATCTGTATAGTAAACTGTTGCATTGTTTTTATATCAAATATATTTTTATCATATAATACCATCAACACTTACTTTTAAATTATTCTATAATTGATGTTAAAATTGCGTAGTGTTGAATTTGATATAAGCAAATATGTCAGTCGACACGAACTTTCATATCTGGCTTATTGGTATGCTTTCGTTGTTAACTGAATTCCGCCCCTTCTTTCAATTCGAGTTTATTTAAAGAAATGATACAAATCGACCTTTATTATCCTAAACATAATCGATTCTTGGCTAGGCACATTTCATTATGTAATATCATGTTGGAAAATATAAGAATATGCATTACATTTGCAGTGTTTATGTAGGCAGTAAAAATGATAAAAAATGAATCTTATAATGATAAATAAAGATTTAATAAAAAAAGTCTATGCATTTTCCAAAACCATGTTTGGCAATTTTGCAAAGATATATAATTATATATTTTCTTTAGAATTTATTTAATTATTATCATGAACAGAAGAAAATTTACTTTATTTTACATTTTTCCATTTAAGGTATATTTATTCTATGAAATATAAGACAGTTTATAATTTTAGAATAACACAGGCATTAAATAGATACAAATTAATACCAATAAGACGAAATATCTATAGGTCATAATATTAGAATTAACATATTAAAACACAGAAATGAATATGCGGAAAACATAATAAAAATTGAGTAAAGGACAACTGTTATCTCAGTTGTACCCTGACATTTTTTCATAAAATAATAATAATAATAATAAGTGTACCACGTGACTAAGAAATTTGCACTATTACATAGGTAACAGTATTTTTTAACAGTATAAAATCTAGTCACGTGGTTTATTTTCTAAAAAAATTAAAATGGCCGCCATTTTTTCTTCTCGATTCAGCTTCTTATTTTTCTAAGTTCATCACGAAGGAGCATCACCAGAATGACTATGGAAAGAAAGAAACTTTAGTTGCTTTTTGTTTTACGCGTCTTAAATATCTTTTTGTTGAATAGTACGAAAGTAAATATCCGTTTTCTTAAGAAGTTATTGCATGGGATTATGTATGTGTCAAAATGGAACTAGCAGACGATTAAAGCACGCAACAAAGGATCAGCTTACCCACAAACTCATGTGTTGTTTATAAATTGTTATATTTTTCAGTCTAAAAATGATAATCTATTGTTAAAGGTATCTTACCCTAAAATGCAGCCAAAACTTTGTAATTGTTTGCATACAAATGTAAATTTACGTTGTTGATCGTTTCGGCGAGTGATAAAATTAATCACATAAAATACATTTGTATGCCAGTTAAGCCCGCAAAAGTTTATTTAATCCATTTTAGCTTCTTTGGTGAAGCAATATGTCTGCAAGTGTTTCGTTTTCACAGTCCAATCATATCTGTGACGGGAATTCAAGTCATTTCAATTGATTTGTGAGCTAATTTGATAAATTATATGTGAAAACATTTTGACCTTGAGATGCATCAAACTAATTTATCTCTTCAGGAATATTTCGGAATCTCCTTTGAGCAAACCATAGCATTATATAAAGCAATATATATAAGAAGTACATGAAGACATTATTGTAATATAACAATAATCAAACCGACATATATTTTTAGTTTATGTACCAAAAATACAGCTTATTTCATAGA